TGTGTGCCAATCATATAGCTTGTTCTAATAACTATAAACCGTTGTGTGCCAATCATATAGCTTGTTCTAATAACTATAAACCGCTGTGTGCCAATCATATAGTTACAAAATAGTTTGTTTTCCTCTGTCATACGAAACAGGTTTAGACGTTACATTTGTACAAACATCTTGACATGTTGTATCTGTACGGTAGAGCGATTTGTGTGTGTGTCTGTAGTTCCGTGAACATTTATTATGAAACATTGAGAGACTTAAAACACGCCTTACTTTTACCATTTTCTTATTTTTTTACGGGTCTGAATTTCCCCGTCTGTTACTACCGGCAAGTGACACGCACGCACGCCGTCCCGCCATCCACGTGAAGCCCATGGACAAAATGGTGCGAGTACATATATTAAATGAAGACACCAAATATTTAGTTTTGTACTATTTAATGAAAATAGTGGAACTGATGGCACATACTTTGGACAAGCAGCCGATTACGAGAACCGAATGTGCCATATGAGGCCTGGATCAACAACGTTGTTATCACATTAATGTTAAAGGAACACAATGAAAGGCTGCTTCTGCAACTCACATATCGGAACGTGCCATACGAGATCTAACACAGCCCTGTTGCCCTCGTATGTTAAGCCAGGGCAATGGCAGGTTGTTGTTGTTGCAAATCGGCGAAGACATGAACGTGGCATGAGAGGCCTAGCGCAACCACACGAAACAACTGTTATGTATCTGATCGTTTGTTAATTTCCGGTATAAATTCTTTCCGAGGAACTTCAGCGATACAAGTCCTTTCTTAATTAAAGCAAGTTTATTCTTTCTCAATACAACTTTGTAATACACAGAATTTTCACAGTCACTTTAAACTTAACAACCTTTATAACACCCGCTATAAATCACAGTGATTCACACACTTTTCTTACGGTTCCTACTGTTCGCTTGACTCAATTATCTCTATCTTCAATCTATCTGCATATCTGTCTATCTATATCTCTTCAATCTATCTGCCCGATCGCGCTGATTTTTCTCGCCAGGCTTATATACTCAAAAAAGAGGGCGCCTCGAACAAACTAGAGTTGCCAGGAAAATTCATGATACTTCTAGAAACTCCAGCGCGCATGCTCCCAGCGTCGCGTGACTTCCGCTGTCGTAACACAACATTGTAATAAGTGAGAAATTAAACCAAGATAATAACATATTGTTGCTGTAACTCGACAAAAACTCCTACTAGACTGGAGCTTACCAACATTGTTGACTTCCACTTTTGAAAATACGAAATAATTCTTTGAAATATTAGTGAAATATAGAAACTTTTATCTTCGGGAGGTGACACATTAGGGTTAAATCATCCAAGCTATTTGGAAACTGGATTCACATAATTTTAATTCAGAAAAAGAGACTTAAACACAATGTGAAAAATATAGCAGCCAAGGATTCGCTAGGAAAAATGTCTTTACTAACCTAGCCGTTGAAATCTAATCATTTAATGAATCCCAGCTTTGTGCACTCACTTGTCTTCTTTACTAACCTAGACGTTAAAATCTATAATCATTTAATGAATCCCAGCTTTGTGCACTCACGTGTCTTCCTTACTAACCTAGACGTTAAAATATAATCATTTAATGAATCCCAGCTTTGTGCACTCATGTGTCTTCCTTACTAACCTAGACGTTAAAATATAATCATTTAATGAATCCCAGCTTTGTGCACTCATGTGTCTTCCTTACTAACCTAGCCGTTAAAATA